GTAAAATGGGCTAGACAACTATCCATGAACAATAACAACAGGTTAAGAAGCGTGTGCTTTGTGAATCCTATCGGGCGTTCTGATGCAAAATAGCTCGTGCAGCAACAAGCTAGGCATTTTGCATTGTGTTGCTGAGACAGTAATTATGTTACAAACAATGAACAATGAACAGGGAATTTATACTGGTAAAGAAGCGTGCTTTCATAAGTCCCGTTGGATAGTTAGTTGGGATATCGAACTAATAATAATACTAATTTTTATCATGAGCAAAGATAGTAAAACAGTTAGTACTTTAAACATGAAAATAAGCACTTATCGTTTGTTCCTCTGTGGTCCTGCAATCCACGTAAATTCACATCACCTACAGTTAACATCAAACAAATCCCTGGTAAACCCCAAGAATGGGATGGTGACGTAGCGGTAAATGACAAAGTAGAACTGGATGAGTGCGTCGTCCAAGCGTCTTTTAAATACCTAGTGTCGGTGCAGAGACGACCGATTCGGGGGGAGCATTCCACTGGTGACAGAGACGACAGAAAAAGCGATTTTGGCGGCACTCCAGACGGCTACACAGTTCTACGAGTTTGCATATCTTCTGTATTGCAGTAAAGGGCAGCACACATGATGTGGGTCTCGCAGAATCAAGTACACCATAATCAAGTCGTCTCGTAATCTGCGATAGCTTACACTGAATACCCCCAATCATTTCAGCCTCTGCCCGTATGAAAGATTGTGTATTCCAAGTACGTTCTTAGATGCTCGATCTTGAGGCTGTTTCAGTACGTTAAGGCTGTGGTTCAACTATGGATACCAGGCTCGAATTGCGCAGTCCACGTGGGGCGAACCTACGCACTGAGCATTTGTCGAATTATGGAGCTGTTAATTTTTCCAAAGACCCGTCGCAACAGCCCGACGTGTTGTTTTCCACTCGTCGAGGCCTTTTCGGATTGCCTGGATCAACCGAAGTCGTCTTGAACCAGCACACCCAAGTCCCGTTCGACAATTAATTCTTGCGGTACATTCGTTCCGAGCCGGTATAAGTAGCTGCTGTAATGTCAAATGGAAAGTTCCTTACATTTACTTACGTTGAAACGCAGTAACTTTTGGGTTAACCATTGATATACCGTGTCTAGCTCACTCTGAAGCAGATGTTGGTCGGAATTCATCTGAATCCTGCACCAAATCTTGACGTCGTAGGCAAACATCAAAAAGTCTGAGGCGATTGCTTGTGCGAGGTCATTAATAAACACCGAAAACAGACGTGGACCTAGAACTGAGCCTTACGACACACCACATTTGACTTATATGGGGCTTGATAAAGAGCTCCGAATTCTGGTCACTAATCGCCGTTGAAGTATAAAGTTGGCAATCCAGCTTAGAAGATGGTCAGCGATCCCGTAATGCTGGAGCTTGGAAAGTAGTATCCGATGATCTAGACGATCGAAGGCCTTCTAAAAATTTAGGTAGATCACATCAACAAATTCGCCAGCATCAGTTGATTCGGTCCAACTGCTGCGTACGATTAGAAAATTCGTTGTGCATGATCGTTGTGCACGGAGGCTGTGCTGCACAGGCGCGATAATGTTGCAGTTTTCCAGCTAACACACCAGTGTATGAGCAAGCATAGATTCCATGACCTTGGAAAAGATAGAAAGAAGGGATACTGGGAGGTAGCTGGAGGGCTCCTTGCTGCTTCTAGCTTTGTGAATCGGTTAGTATTCCAAGCTTCCACTTAGCGGGAACTTTGTTCTGATATATGCAGCGCTGCAAAAACTGAGCTAATGGTTCTGCCCGTTGGCTTGCTGCCGCTTCCAAAGCCTCTGGACGAATAGTATAGACTCCCGGCGAGCTATGTTCGCGTAGGGACATCAGCTTTTGCAATACAGCCTCCGCGGTATAAGTGACGTGAGTTAGTCCTGGCGGAGAGACGACAAAGGCTGGAAGATTACTTGATGGCAAGACCTTTGAAAAATGGGGGCATATTGCATTCGCAGCGCATTTTCTGCTGCTACAGCCCTTCCTGTTGAGTCATCAGCCATCCTGAATGGACGAAATCCTTGCCTCACCTTTCGGAGGCTATTGACGGGTTTGTGCAGCAGTTTGTGGTTAGCATTGAAAGTTTTTGCGATATTCTACTGATATGCGGCTTTGTCTTCCCTGAGTAGTTTTGTGCAGTAGTAACTTTAGGCTACGTAGTTGTCCCACGTTTCTGGCCTTGGAGCTTCTTTGTGCACTCACCATGCTGCGTTGCGTACTCTCATCCATTTTCGAGTTCTGCTCCTAACGGAAGAAACTGATTTATATTTATTGCAAGCACTTAGCTCTGCAACCACTGAATACAGCGGACTGAATTTGTTGTCGAACTCGAGCTAGACAACATCCAGGGGTTCTTCGGACAGGAAAACCAAGTTGTAGCGTTGATCAGCTAGGCTAATCGATCGTAGCTTGTGATGGTTTGCCCAGTCTCACGTTCTCATTCCGATATTCCGCATAGCAGACAAAGTTCAAACTGATCACAGCGTGATCACTGCGAACCAATGGGTAGTCTAAAACCAACACATCAACCACATGCTCCTCGTTTGGTAAGCACAAGATCCAGCACAGATGGCCTGTTAACAGTTCTGAACTGTGTGGGCAAAGTGATGTGATTGTAAAGGGGTACAGTGGTTACGAGCTTTGGTAGATCGGTTTTGAATTTTTCTCCGATCGTGGCAGGTTTCTACACAATGTACGTTGATATCACCCATGTAGGTGAGTGTACTTTCTAGGTGGTAGTCGCTTTCAAATGTAGAGTTAGGGGGCGGTACACCAAGACAATAAGCAAGCGTCCCTGCCTTTTAATTGCAAGCGACATCAAAGAGTGTCGGGGAACTGAAAGGCTGTATCCTTCACGGATTCGCATTGTAAGTCACTTCGGTAATACTGGATTACCCCTGCGCTTTTTATAAGTCCATTTTTCCGGATGAGCGACATGTCCGGTAGCGAAAATTCAGCGTCCGTCATTCCCGTGTGCAATTGTACCTCGGTGATACCGATGACATCATATGACCCGTAAGCTTGGCGATCTTTCAGTTCGGCCAGTTTATTAAGAGGACACTGAGCGTTCGACTAAAAATAGGCGAGTTTCTCGGTCTCTAGGAGCCCACAGAGAGCTGAAGGGGTCAAGTGTGGGAGAATGCCGACTGATGGGATGTCGGCAGTCACTCGTTTTTGGTTGGGATACTGCTACTTTAGCTGAAACTTGATTCGGCCAAGGTGCGTCCCAATCTTCCTTTAGACCTACGTCAGAGTCGAGTAAAGCAGCAGTCAATTGGAGTTGCTGTATCATCGTCGGTAGTTTTGATGTTTTAGGTGCTGTGAAATTTGAACTTTGCACAACTTCTTCGGTCTTTAACCGAAGTGCAGCAGAAAAACTTTTCCGATTTGTTCGTCATCGAGACAAAACATCCGTTGCTTGTTGCTCTGACCGAACCACGTTTTAAAATTTTAGGACCGCATCCTTCATACTTTGGTGAGAGATATCTTGGTGCGCGATAGCGCTACAATATTATTCAAAGAAGGTGCTTCACGAATTAACCGGTACTACTTTAAAGTTTGCTTTCCAGCCGCATGAATATCATTAGAAAGGTGCTCTGTCGCACCATGTATGAAGATTGTGTTTAGACGGTCTTGCTTCCTGTGTCCCACTTCAATGTTTCTTTTTGATTGTCGCGCGCTCTACGGGACATCGGGATAGATGCGTATCCTACAGGATCTCTGCCTTAGCTTGCTTGTGGAGCGTAAGACCTTTTCTACATCGGTGGTGGATTTTAGTGTTAGTCTACTAAGTCTGGGTTCTTCATAGTGGGGCGAGTTCGGATGACGGGTAATCCATAATAGGTTTATGGGTTTGCCTTTTACACATCAACACGCACAGTGAGTTCCATTTGTCTTGGTCGCCCGATAACTAGCCAGGCAATGTGATGGAGGTAGATTCGGGAACCTTTGAGCACACAACGGTCAGGGCACTAATGTTGGAGCCCTTTTCCGTTGGTCTACAAGGTGGGGTAATCATTTGTTTTGACCTATTGACAAGTGTTTATTGCTTACTGTTTGTCTCTCTATTCGCGTTAATGATATTTACAACAGAACAGACTGCAACGGCAGCCTCCCGGCTGACCTTTGCAGCAATCTCTGCATATGCAACAGATGCCCCGGCGGGCTTTGTCTCGACAAGAGACATTTGGGCTATTGCTATCAAAGGTTGGTGTTCGTCCGCTTCATCTTTGTTAATGATAGATGGCAGGTCTAGTGGGACTTGCTTAACCAGAGGTTTCGAGTTGTGCCTGATTTTCCTTGCCATGACTACTGTTCGACTGTCGTAGGCACGTTCCGTTTTCGCCCGTCGTTCTACCAAAGTTGGAGACGACAACGGAGATGGTGACATGGCTGACTGCAGTGCAAGGAAAGCAGCTTGTGCAGTATTCCATTGCTTAGAGCCCGATAAGCTTCCCTGGTGCATACGCGCTTCCATTGAACTAAACATGTCGGTTATCGTCTGCTTAAATTCTGCGGTTAACCGCTCGCACTTCTAGACTAGGACAAGCAAACATTTAACGAGTGGGGTGGTCGATCGCGCAGTACAGAACCATAGCGCATCTTGTGAGCTATTTCTCCCCCGTGCCTGCTGCTGAGACAAGCATGCACATTTCGGAGGATACCATTCCAAACAATGCGAGCAAGCCAAATCTGTTTGTACTAATCGGTGACATTATCCTAACCAGTAAATGCTTTTGCTTGGAGCCTTTACGGATTCGCATTTCTGCCATTCAACCGGTTGTCGTTACCTGACCCAGTGGGTTGATTGGCGTTCTTTAGTTTTCCAGCTTTGAGAGCGGCATACTTCGGTCAGGCGACCGTTGTGGTTACAAGGTCACATGAGCGATCGGCTTGGTCGCGTGATCAGTGTGACGCGTTATGCAGGCGCAATGGCTGACAAGGTCACAAGGAATGGCGAGTGACTGGAACGTGCTGACTGAATCTGAAAGCAGCGCTGAACACAGATTGAGAGATCACCAATTCTTTCACAGCTGCGTTGAGAAACGCTGGATTGGAATAAACTTAGGCGTTTCGAAATGCCTCGAGAATTCTGTATCGAACGGTGTCACACAGAAAAGTAATCGGCTCAATGTGATTGAGTTATCCGCTTGCGCTTAATCACGGATGACAATGAAAACGGTGAGTACAGGTACGGGTTTTACTCGTAGATGATAATTCCACGTATGGTGGATCAATGTGTAGGGCTGGTAAATCCGGTTCGAATGAGCGTACGATGACTGCGCTGAGAGCATTTTGTGAGAAAATAGAGAGGAATGATCCAACTGCCCAGGAGCACGTGCGAGACGCATGTGTTTGCAGGATCATGCTCAACGTTGTTCTAAATTACAGTTAGGCGAAGCTGGTTAAAACAAGGCTATTATCCAAGGAGCGTAAGAGAAGGATAACACTACGCGGTGGCATGTGGGTGCCAGATTGTATCAATCGTTACGTTGTAAATACGGTTAGTGTCAGTGTGGAACCGACAAATTAGAGGAGTTCGAGAATATACACGAATAGGAACGAACTTTCCGCGGCATTCGAAGCGACTGTACTTCTCGGCAGATGGTAGGCGTAGCCTCTCAACTGGTGTTATTGCTGATCCCTAGTAGAGAACGGCGCAAATGTTTTGTACTGGGCAAGATCCTGTAAGCCAAAAATAGGTGACCTGTTGATCAATAATGTCGTTCACTGCTTATCCCCAACATGTCAGTCTCTGTTCGAAGATACGTTTGGCATCCAATAATGTGCCTGGAAGCCCAAAGCTGGGCTTGGTTTAGAGCAATAATATTGAGTTTTGGACAAGGTAGTCAGGTTGGAAATGTGTGTTCGAGTTCAAAGCGAACAGCAACGTTAAGTGCTTGAAAGAAAGGGAAATGTTGGCTTATCGGAACGCTAGTCTCAATACTGCAAAGCGTTGGTTGCCAGGTTTCGATGTCATGTCGGATTAGTGGAAACAAACTGGCTAGGTCAAGTCAACCAGATAATCGCTGCAGTACATACGTTTCCATCATGCAGGAGTGAGTGCAACGGTGTCAGGTGGAAAAGGTAAAGCGGGTAAAAAAGAAATACTTAACAAGTCCGCTGAGGTGGAAAGGACGCCGAATAAAAAACAGGATGATGAAGTGAAATACGATGTGGTGGACTCATCTTGCTTTGAATACCGTGCATTATCATATTCGCTAACATCTGCTTACATTCAACTGGATTATATTTTGGTTTGCCCATAATGTACCCTATCCATATAAAGTTAGAGCGGCTACTGATCATGATTTAGCTAAATGCGTTAACTTGCCTTAATGTCATCAGTGAAAGATAAGAAACCTGGGGTGATACTTTGCGTAGGGCCATTAATGACTAGCAAAAACAGACATTTTTATACTAATGGGCCCTGCGGCACGATACATTTTATTTTTATGGAAGCAGAGAGAAAGTTTCGAACTACATCTACTGCTCAACATCAAAATAAGTAATGTTGAATCCAGTTCAATGCACCGAAAATTGCGTCTACTGCGCTAAGGTTCAGATCTCTTTCCTGGTCTTACTGGTTCATTTTTATAGACTATGTCCGTTGCTAGAACAACGCATTTTGTGTGCGTCGATGGCACATCACACTGTTCGTCATGCTCGCAGGATAGGTAGGAAAGTAGGACCTTCACATTTATGCAACTGTGGAAGGGCTGTTTTATGAATCATTGAATCAGAACCATACGGGGGCGTAAGCACCACGAACAATGCACACACGTATCTGCTCTAACCGCGTCGTGCATGTACTGGCCCGGTTTGAGAAAGGACAAGTGTGTACGTAGGGGCAATGTATTTCGTTTACTGACGATTACAATCGAACGCCATCAGTGCTGCCTTATGTGTACGCTTCAATTAGCCTTCCTCCCCCTGCTTAAGATGGAATGCAGTATGCGACACAGGTATTTGTAATCTTCGTGGATGCGCCGTTAGCCATATTCTTTCGTGGCTCCTGTCTGCCTGTCTTCTGTTGTGCTTTTCCTGTCTGAATTTGTGATTTCTACATTCCCGTTCAAACCGTGAGATGAAGCAGCGACAATAAACGCAAATCTTGTGGAATTCGGAGAATATTTGGAGCACATTCCACGACCAGGGATCATCTCCTTTTTATGTTAGGGAGAGTGTCATTGTCTTGCATTCACGGTTAACCATGTTGACCATTTGATGAATACCCAATCAAAGTGAGCTGAGATTGTTTATGTATTCTCAGCCATATTCAGAAAAATAATACTAGAGATGACTTGGATGAGAATAAATCGATTGGTTGCTTCAGTCGTTATGTTGCGCAGTTACCTGAATTACCAGGCGTAATTTAAGTTTACTAATATGGCATACATTTAAATGTTGAGAGTCCACCAATTTGTTAGTGTTTGCAGTCTTTCGAAGGCTTTATTAGTAATCAAAATTCAAGTAACATGACTGACAGATTGCATTGCTTAGGGTTGACCTACAGTAGCTGCGCACTACATTTGTTCTTTCCCTAGAGACAACAAGATAAGCGTGAGTTATAATATCGCCAGTTAGGTTTACCTTAGTCAAGATGTATGGTAGAACAAGAAACAATGTCGCATTATGGGTAAAAATTCATGTGCTGAACAAGTCTCATAGGATAACTAGAACGAGAACTACATAAAGGGCGAAAAGAAAACCTGGTGAAAACTGAAAAGCGTTTTGGTAGGCTCACCGCAGTCTTCATATTGAGACATGCGTAACAGAGCTTGATTCAGATGTGTAGGGTAATGCTGGTTGGTGCAGCCATTGTCACGCTATATCATATCTCGATGTTAGGGCAACACCGCGATATTTTTTGTACAAAGGTAAAGTGGGGCAGACACAACGCAATTAGGGAGGGCGTTCAACGGCTGAGTTAGAAAAAGAGTGTAAAAGTCTCCCCGACATTATAGCCAACTGTATTGCGTGGCTAGCTTGAGCTGGTGACCCCTCAAATTCGTGCTGTAACCGAGTTGCAGTAGGTGGCGGCAGACGTGGTTGGGGTTCCTCAAAAGCTGGTAAGCTAGCATTAGGTCCCCACGAAGGAGCCGATACTAACCACTGTATAGTCTTAGGGTCCTCAGTCCAAGTTAATATAGAAATCGGAACAATTCTTTGAAGTGCAATGTGGCTGTTTACTGTAGAGACTCGAGTCTTGCGAAGTGTTTCATGTGCAAAGGTTACCTGGACTGGATTGCTTATTCCACACGAGGCGGCTCGTGTGCTAAGCAACTGCGGACAGACAGATGGATAGAACCGCCAGAATGTCTTCCGCAGTGCCCCGACGTGTTTATGCCCGGTCTTTAGCGCTTTCTTAGACTTCAAACTAGCAAGAAGAAGTAGCATTTCAACAGCATATCCTGGATTCAGATATCTCGTGTCCTCTCATTAACTGTTGATAGACGATCAGGGGAACTACTTCTGTGTAACACGCAAAGGTAAAATTGCGTACACAATCGTCCGCTCTAAATGAAACTAACCGGGAAAGCATCACCAACGTAAAGCAAAGGTAGTCAGAAATTCCGTCAACTTACATAAATTGGGATTTAGGTTACGGATCGCTGAGACCTTTGCAAACTGAAGCAAACGGGTATTGCTCTGTCGACTAATGTTCCCGAACGATTCACGTGGATATTGGCAAGCAGAGCAATCAACTATGTGCCGGGCAATTGAGGTAGAGGGCAACTTCTTACATTGTTCTGAGGAACCCAGCTCAGACTGGAGTAATACTCTAAGGTCGCGTTCTAGGATGACTGACTGCAGGTCATGGTCTACAAGACTGTATATCATGTTCGGCTGCTGAGGAATGTGGACCACTTTCACAGACGAATTAGACTGGAAGAGATTGTGGAATGACCATTCATATACTCTGACCAGATCTCAATGAAGTGCATCTTAATCTCCTTCGTTGGCGATCACTCGCTACCTGTTAACATCATCTCCGAAAAAGAAGGAATTTGGGATGATCAGATGCGTGTGCTTTGTAATGAACACGAACAATATACTGGTCCCCAGAAATGATGCTTGTGGACTTCTATATTAGACATGAATCAGACCGAACAACGCACTTCGAACTCCTACCTGCACTCGCCAACGTGGCCGCAAATTACTGAAGCATCCAAACACAGGGTCGTAGACACCGCACTTTCCTAGCCTGTGAATCGGAAAGCGGTAATCCAGGCGGTCGAAGGTCTTGGAGAAGTCGAGGTAAATGACGTCGCTCCCTCTACCTTTGTGGACCACCTCATTCCAGCTACCGCGTGTAATCAGTAGGTTGGTTGTGCACGATCGATGCTGGCGTAGACCGTGCTGCTCCAGTTCTATAAGCTAGAAGCGTTCTTAATGGTCGGCTAAATCCTCATGGATGATTGCCTCCATCACCTATGAGGGTACTGGGGCGAAGACCGCATGGGAGACGGTTTTGCGGGTTCTAAGCGGTTGCCACTTTTACGACTCGACGTAAGTAGTCCATGTTTCCACGTAGCAGACACTATTTGTTTTTCCAAGAACGTCTAGGAAATATACGCTAATGGCTCGGCCAGCTTCGTTGCTGCTATGCTCAGTGCCCTCGCATAAACGCCATCGATTCTGTGAGAACCGGATGTGCGCAGGAATAACAGTTTCCTCACCCCGTTTGCAATGATTAGCGTCATGTGGATTATGACTGAAATTGGGGAGATGGCGAACGTCCCGTTGGATGGTCGGGGCACATTACACCCGTAGGGCGTTAGATGTTACTCCAGTTCCCTGTGCCACTCCAACTGTCATGTTAAAACCATTTGCTGCGACGTTGACTAACCTAGCTTGGCTCACCTATGAGATATGATAGAAGTAAAATAGCTTTTCTAAGGCCCAAAAATACAAGCGCTCATACTGTATCGACACCTAAAGGGCCTCCACAGCCAGAGCCACTGTTCCTGTATTTTACACATGATGGAGTCATAAAAGTATTCTAGTCTGATAAGCGGTAAACGGTCAACAATTTATGTTCGATTAGGCGACCTGCGATGAAGATTGCTTATGAAGAAGCTTGAATCCAACCGTAGTTATTTATCATTTACCGAACTTGGCAAGCCTAAGCGGTTACCACACGGTTGAGGAAATACATAAAACGTCCAGTGTGTAGTTGTTCAGATAACCCAATTGGTCGCATTTTATCTTTCTGCTCATGTGTGAAACTGTTGACAAGTTAATTAGCTTCAACTTCTCCGCCCCCTAGAACTATAAGTACTATTGGACTTCTGTGACTTTCACAAACGATGCTTGTCACCACTCTCACGCTTAATAGTAACTGCCTCTAGCCCACAGCTCCTTCACGGATCTACCATGCCAAGCATTCCTGGATTCAACCATTCCTAGTACGCAGAAAGACATACCGCAGGCCCTACCATTCATAATATGATTTCAGTTCCACGCATGCGTTCAGTTCCGTTAGCAACGAATTGTGCTTACCAGGTGTGATTGCGAAATTCAACGACACACTGGCAATCCTACTTATCGAAACGTGATGTTACTCCCATTCGCAATTGCGGATTGCCATCTCTTTCGAAAAGATCACTGCACAAGAAGAAGAATAGGTTGCATGATATACTTGCATCATAATCTTAAAGCAATACTTCTAGACTATCCGAGGTTAGAAAACGTTGCATGATCTCTTTGATTATCCTTATCAAGAGACATGTTTTAACCACTGCTCGGTTGTGTCTGCAGTTGCCGTACGCAACCAGTTGGGATTGTCGCCAATTATACTTCACTTTTCGACTTTGCATCGGAGATATCACATGGAAGGAAGGCAATCGTCGGTGCTATCAACTAACCAAGGATCAGTTTGTCTTCACACTTGCCCTCGTCTCTACATAAAAATTGCCCTTCTCTCGTCAGAGTAGGTGGTTGGACACAAAGTATAGCCAAAACAAGTAAGTCCTCCAATATACTAGACCTGATATATGTATTGAAGATCGCCAACATAAGAACAGAGGTCTTAGGCAAATTCCCTGGCAGCTACCAGAAAATAATATGACTCATCCTCTTCTTGAATGGGCCACCAAACAAATTTTGCATCCTCTAGCATCCAACTTAAGCTTTCGATTGCGTTGTATCCTTTCTATTTAACAATATAAGAACAACCATGGAGCCCTTCTATTATCAGACCCATCAGAGTAAAACCCTCGCTGATAAGCAAAGGTACAGAAGGCTGACCACATGGACATGAAAATTGTGCGACCAAACAGCTGGAGTCAATGTGTACAATGCAGTGGCGATGTCAGCGTGGCAACATGGCTGGCAGATGTCAATTCTGCAGTTGTAAGTGTCTTATAACATTAGTGCACAGGAATAATTAACAAAACAGGTTCCGTCAACGAATTCTTTGCGTCAGCAATAAAATGCTTGTGACATTTAATCAACTGCTCAGCGTCTAACCAGCAGTTATCCATCATGAGCCAAACGGTTCACCCGATCTACTTTACATCAGGCTGGGATCCCACCTTATCCTCGGAAATATGAACACTGGCATGCCAATTGTATCCATTGCATTGAAAGCTCGAATACCGATCACAATTCTTCCCTTTCAGAAATTGTCAGTGTTATAGCGCTGTAACCGCAACTGACCGGTTGGCTTACGCCTGCTGATAAATCTGTGCCCTTACGCCTGCTCTGTTTGACGCCTTGGTCAAGCCGACGGGAAAGAAAGCAGAAGAAGGCTCAGCCGACCAGAGTTTTATTCGAACCAAGAACACTCATATTTAGATGTAGATCTCACCAATCGTCTAAACACCGCCTGGCGGATTTGGCTACCTGTCTTCCTCGTACTTCCACGCTCCACACTTGACTGTCCGCTCCGTCTGACCAGTTCACAGTCTTGTTCGGGCACACCAGTCTTCATCCGCCTACCCGGGGCATGGCAACGTGCATGATGTCTGACGCGCGATTTCATCAGCTTCCGGTCAGATCTTGGCAACACACATGATATCTGATGCGTGATTTAAACAGCTTTCGGCTGGGCCGTGACAACACGCTCGTTTGGTCTGTCCTAAGCACGCTTTGTGGCGAACAAGCGCGCGTTGGCAATCAGCTTTCTCGCCCACCTGTCAGTCAGCTATTCCATAGTGCGTTTTCACTTCCGTGGCAAATTTTATTGTTGGCACTTGGACACGCGAAAGCAGTCTCATTCATGCCTCACAGATTAATTTTTTTAAATAAGTGAGATTTTTAAAGCGTATGACAGTCGTTTTTACTACTTGCTAAATTCAGTCACATTATAGAAGCTGACTGCCTGGGGACTTCTAAGTGAAACAGAAGTGTTAACACTAGTAATCTTTTAAGTCAAAATCGGTCCAGCAAATTGACCCCATTATTGAATCGATGAGGTACATCCAGGATTTCGGTGAGACCATATACCAGACGTCGAAAGTCTATGGTCGTTGAACCAAACAGCACTGCTTCCATTGTCATTATCGTTTGAGTAAGTGTCTCTTCCAACTACGGCGGACATACAATCCTGAGGCGGCCCAAAACTATATGCCAAGGCGCAAGGATCTCAAAAACAAATAGCAACAGTGGAAAAGTACGGTGTTGAAGTAGGTAATAATGGAACTAGATGTCCCATTCTGTCACCTTCAGCTGTCGTAACCAAGCTTGTTCGTTCATCAGCAGGATTCACTTACTCGAATCAGCTAATAATATAAAAAATCACCTACAAGGTTTTGTTATTCAAAACTAAGACAGTTGCAGTCACTCCTGGGTTGACAATTCTTGTCCAGCCAATCAAAAAAATAGTATCTAGCTTTGTTATTTGTGTTCAGCATACGTCTTAAAGTTTAGTTTTTATGTAGTGTACATTTTTGGACACTAATCACTTGTGTGGTTGCGGCTGATTTGAATCTGTGTGGTGAGTTTTCCATCCAGTGACCATATAGTGACTCTATTCTTGGCTTGTTTTGACAGGGAATATGATGGAAATGAAAAATAATCCTAATCGCAAACAGTAAAGACATGTTATCCAAATGAAACTTGGGATTAATTTATGAAACGCATTAATATTATCAGTAAAAACAATTGCCTTATTTTCTATGCGCTGCCCGAAAGTTCGACGGTTATTGTCTAACTTTTTGGCGGCGTTTCCTAAGTAAATTCATTTGTCAAATGCACCAGCACTAACTACAGGCTTTCTGCCACATTATGTCCTCTTGTACTCTTCCAGGAATACACTCGAATCATTCTTGAACAACGATATTTTAAAAATGTCGATAGAAAGTGAAGCATACAAATGTGAAAAGCTGCAGAAAACACGCCGAAGCATTTTATCTGCAAGGGTTGCAACACAAAACAATTATGTTATTGCCTGCTATGTGACAGTAGAACGTGACACCGTGGCTTAATAGATCTATACTTGCAAACCTTGTAACATTTAGTAATGAAAGCAGTGCTGTTGACCATCCAGCTACGTACACGCTTAACAGAGATGCAAAAATTAGCTGCAAAAGAACGTAAAAAGGGCAATGAGTCAAGTTACCAGATTTCTGATTTTGAAACATGAAGCAAGAGAGGTTGATAGAAAACTGTTCAGGTTAAAATCTGGATTGGAATGTGGATCGCATTGGAGAAGTAGAATGGTGGGGTTTTTACCTGTAGTTGCTGTCTTAACCAACTCTACCCTAATCTGGTTTGTCGAATTAAAGCTTGAACTTACAGTCTTGGTGTGAAACCTTCCAGTGTCTGGGATCAGCTTTTTCACTAGTTGCTTGCTATCCTGTCCCTCACATTCGCAGTAGGACTTCACACAGTTCACCATATTTGCCAGAAGTCAAATGAACCAGAGTTAGGGAATATTCCTTTGTTCACAGAATGGTAGAGGAGGAATTTACACATGAGTCATAGGACTCAGCGCAGTCATATTTGATCAGACGGTCCCAAAACAAGGGGCAACGCACAGGACACGGTCTCGAGTTACCTTAGCTACCCCGACCCTGTGAGTTGGTTATTCGACTGACTGATTATAACAATGCAAAAGGAAAATTTGCTTGTCCGTACTACATATTTCTTAAAGTTTGTTAGAAACATCAAACTTAACTAACCGGTATTTTTTGCTCTTTTTTATGCAGCGTGAGCATCACCTAACCAAGGAACGCTTGCATGGTAAGTCGCTCGCATTCCGATCCATCTTATCTGCTCTCATATCTCATTTGATGCATGCCAGGATTGGGTTCACTGAAAATCCCCCTGTCCTTAAAGAGACGTATACCACGCACAAGCACTCGATTGCCGTCAACTACACAGCTCCATTTTCTGATTGAAAGCATGGGCATCATCACAAAATGTTCATATACCCGGACAAAGGTGACATCTTTCAAATCTTAGTGGCTGCGAGAATTGCAGGAATAAGGGCAGGACTGACAGTCACACATCTAAGATATCGTGCCGAAATGTAATGTCGAGCGCAACCGGAGGACTAGGATCCTTCGGGTAAAAGAAGCATTGTCAAACATTCCCTTTCACAGCTTGGCAGATAGTGCGCTGCCCATGTGACGTTCACAAACAAACAAGCTGTGTGTATAAGCGCTAACAAACAGTTCTCAGTTTACTCTTAGCCGAGTCTCGTACACAGACGCGAATAGAGGCGATAGACAAAAAGTGGGATTATTTCGCCACACCGGTGCTAGTCCGATTAACACGTTGTTCGTTCAGCTACCTGGGGGCAAACGTTGCACGTCTTGACCTAGTAGTCAAAGGGTAGAGGTTCCAACTAGCATCCCATAGGTCTCGGGTTTGAATCCCGCTATATTCACCTGATGAGGTCACATGCGGTCGGAACGCGTCGCGGCGTACCTTGTTTTCAGGCGGACAACACCCAATTTTCATCTGCTTGGGCTACGGTCCCAGTGAGCACATTGACTATGGTTCACTTCAATGTAAATTCCCGTCCACATGGACATTGCGCATTGCAATCCAATCGCACAACGTTTACTTCAGAATGGCCCCTTCAAGCATAGGTAACGCTTACGGAGGTTTCAGAGATGCAGCTGCAACTGGAATTGCCCGATCAAACACGCACAGTCATTTATACATACACAGCTTCATCCGCCATATCTTGCCCACTATAACACTCATGATAATACTGCGGAAATCAAAAGATTTATCAGCCCAACAGCGAATTTTCTAGTCACTAGCGACTACAGACACACATGCATGTCATAGTAAGTGGCTAGTACGTGGGTATGTAGGGGGCGAATGCTGTCATCAAACGGGTTGCTGACCCATAGCATCCTATAAATAGCGTGCAACACTACTCTCGTGAACAGGTAAACTGTTGCTGAACGACAGTTGGTTCAGAAAGCACAAAACCCAGTTATTGTAGTGCTCGTTAGTCAGCAGGAATTTGAAAGGGCATGGACATGGCGATTCTTACAGAGAATTGTTGTAAGATAATCCCTGTCGCTCGTGAAGCCCATTATCTGATGCCAGACAGATTCTGCGGGATTGGACGGAAATGGTGAGAGTACGTGCGTGTGTTGCGTTCGGTTCGAGGTGATGGGTGTTTACTAGACTTTGGCTACATACACAGATATAAGGATTCCACGCTCATCAAGTTAGCAAGCTCAATGCACTCTACTTCCGAATCCTGATCCCCAGATACCATGATAACCAACCACCAACCCGATTCATCACATGACTCCTGTATGCGAGTTAGGCAATTCCCGGCCACTTTTATGCATAATAAACTAGCACCGGTTAGGTCCTTCCAATCTCTGGCACGACAGCAGTTAGAGTAAAGATGAGACAAGCTTAATACAGTGATTAATTTCATTAATATACTAGAGCGCGGACATTAGGAAGCTTTCGGTTACCTATCACTTACTGCGTTAACAGGTTTATGTTTCTGATGACTACGTCACTAAGCTCACTGTATTCCGTGTCCCAGAAAATAACCAATTAAAGTGAGCTTTTCCACATGAGTTTGGTTAAAGTAGCCTGGAAGTGGAAGTTTCGGCAAGCTAAAGTAAGGGGGATTACTTTGTTCGTTAATTGACTTGGATTCAGGAACGCAGGACAACAAAAATCTGATGGGTAATGGAGTAAGTGGGTAGCTTGTGACTGTTTGTAACCCTTGCAGACAGCTTCCTCTCTGCTCGGCCAAACTACGTGCTACCGAACTTCTGGTTAAAGAATTAGATGCAAAGGGAGATAATTAGCGTGACCTGTTTCAAGTGGGGCTTGTACAGCAAACTCCTAACCACTTGAAGTACAACTAACTCGGCCACGTAATCGCATTAAATAATACGAAATTTGCTGAGACAGTACCGAAACCTGTTATCAGATTGGTCTCGTTTAAAGGGCAGCATAACTAAGAACCTCAGGCGTTACCTACTATTCAGGCCATGGCTTTGCGTGTCGCGCTCCCTCGAGATATAGATTCTGTTGTAGCGTCGAGGTAACGTGATGCATTCAGTCCCCATTGTATGCGTAGGGTAAATTTTACGAGCTCTGTCGAAAGAAGTGGGGACAAAATCTCGTGCGTAGTTCTTAGGACACAAGTTATTAGGTTGGTGTTATTGTCCTGTCCACGTCGATTTTCCGTATGCAGACAAATCTAGTGCGCTAATACGTAGTAACGTATTCAAGCAAAGCACGCCACCAGACCGAAGTTTAACAAGGACAAGGCACAGTACGAAAATAAAGTGTGTCGGGCGTAGCAGTGCGACATGGCTCACATGACACACAAGTTAAATCATGAGTGAAGAACTATTGCTTGGTCAATGAGAGGAAAACTAATAAAAACGCGGTGTGGCTAAACTAACTAATCAATGTCATCGACGGACGTAACATCCCCTCCTCTCTTGGAGAAAGTCGTACACCGGGAAAGAAACTTTCAATAGGTTTAGGTACACGTTGAGATCTGTGAAGTAGTGGACAGTTTAGTGCTCGCGCCGGATCCTGAGTGGTTTGTTCCACGGTCGGCTGGATTGAGTCATAGTTTCCCTGTTTTCTCCTGTTTCTACACAACGCGGACGTTTGTGATCTGAATGCTGCCTCAAGACGCGACCACTTACCCTTAGATCAACCTGGGTACCATCACGCGTGATCACGGTTGCGTGCTGCCATGACTGTTCGTGGGGCAGTCGTGTATACACAGGATTCCCGGTTGGAAACCAACATCAGGTTCCCCGTCTAACATAGCTGTCTTATTTTGTTTCCCTTCTATTTACGCTCAACAATTAGGAACTAAAAGGTGCAGTGTAGTACGAAGTGATTTACCGAACAACGGTTCTGCGGGGGATTTACCCGTGACTTCTGTGGGACTTATTCTATAGGCAAAAACTAATCTATCCAATCGCGTTTTTACGGTTCCCGATAACTGCTTGAACAGGCCCCTTTTTACCGTCTGCAACGCCTTTTCGACTCATCCATTTGACGCAGGGTAATATGGGTCCGTCCGTGACTTGCGCACATTGCCGTCTCCAATCGCCCACGGAGTGTGTATCAAATCACAAGTCACCTGTTTACCGACGGAAACAGCTGTTAAGACAAACAATTCCAATATACCTTTAGCAATGATTTATAATGGGCAACAAAGCGAGTATGCGACAAGTCCCGTAGGATGACCGGGTCTAGGATTACAAACCCTAAAGTAAACCTGACTGGAAGGAAAGGAAAAATTCAGCTTTTGTGTGGATCACCAAGCCATTCACGTAAACACAGATAGAGATCCCCCGATAGATTACAGGAGACGGCTGGTGAGTACGTTGGTTCAGCGTCGTTACTTCGTCTTCCGATTGAAACGGACGAGAGAAAGCAATCCAAACGGGGTAACTTGCTGCCAAAGCGTCTTTTGAAAAACGCTAATGAAGCGACAACAAATGACTTGTTAGATTAGCATTCCACATTGAGGACACGCGAACAGACACAAAATTTCGTCAGTCAGCAAGTCGACTTTAGTGGGTGGTGACCTCTCAACTTCCCATTTTGGCTGTGGTGTAACAGATCGCGACGGGCATGATTAGTGTTCTCCAGTACATCATGACAAAGTATAACCTCTGTACAATCCAAGGGCCTTCATTTTGATTTGGTACGGTAGGTAACACAATCGGTTAACGATTTTGGACCTTCTACCTTATGTAGCTTTATGTGCCTCAATACCGTGTATGCTCCAGGGCCTCTTAGTCTTGGATAGCATCTTCCACATTTGGCTTCACCAAGGCGTTCAGCATTTGCGAAGATATAAAAGCTGGAACTTCACGCAAATCCACCCTGAAAAAGGCTAAGGAGTTGACTAGTTTTTCCCAATGCTTTTTCGGCGTGATTCGTGCAGCAAAGGTCATCCACAATAATCGTTCGCAGATTGCCTTTCTGTGTAGTCACTTGCAAATGTGGTTCATTAAGTCTATGTTCATGAGTGGGTTGCTTGCATATGCTCAATCATTGCACTTTGCCATATTAAACCGAAGCCGGTTCCTGAAGTGCTGGCTTACCTGGTGAGTGTTCGGTTTGGCCTGCGTCATTGTCTGTTTCGTGGCACAAATAGTGACTTAAGTCTACTCATTATGCTAGAGATGTGCATCGCATATTTTCATGCAACTGTTGGCAGTATACTATCAGCACATGGACAAAGCCTCAGGACTCACAGCAGTATCAACCGAACTGGCCTGAGTAGGTTGAAGTGTACATTTTTTGTGGGAAATCGCGATCAGTTGTTTGGCCGGTTGTAGCCCAACTGTAACGAGTGTGCACTCGTAAGTGTCCGTCACAGAACGGACTTGGATTAGTAAATGTAACTTCTGGTACCAAAAGCGCAGCGCTGGTCCGCGGTCCTCTGCTAAACATGACAAAGCGACCACCACTACTTACACAAAGCATCTAATTCTTGCCAGTTTGCGTCACGGTTGGTATGTCTCCACAAAAATACTAATAATATTTCTCGTCCGTGCATGATTACCGTAGACCATTTTGTAAAAATCTGCTCGTTCCCCTGTGCTATTAATCCATGAGTGGGCGAGTATTTACATACGCGGTATATGGTAAAGGCATAGCATGCCGTGGTTAATTGAAGAACTTGAAGCTACCATCTCTAAGGGGGAAACGCGGTTGCTCTAATACTTTTTGCTTGTGCAGCATAACCGCTTTGCGCGGTAACCCTACTT